ACTTTCTTCTCTCTCTCTCTCTCTCTCTCTCTCTCTCTCTCTGTTTCTCTCTTTCTCTCTTCCTGCGGAGGCCCGCATAACATCATCGAGTTTCCTCGCGCGCTCGACGTACGATCAGAAGAAGCGAAATTAATGGATCAGTTTATCCTCTCCATTAACGATTTCGGATAGCTGGTCCATCCTTGTAGCGAGGAATTAATTTCCCATTCTCAGTTAGAGGCAGAGACCCGACTTACCATAATTTTCGTAAATTTGGATCGTTCCCCGACGAAACCGGCTGTTGAATATTCTCTCGCTTATTATAAACGGCTTCTGTAATCAACGTCAAATACAGTCAAGCGTCAGTGTGCGATAATCTATATATCCAATTGAGTTAATCCAATTCATATTCCTTCAAAATAACAAATATTTGGTTCTTATTCAGTTTTAACGTCGGAATTATCAATTGTTTTTATTGAAGGAAATAATAATTGAAAACGATTTCTATTACTTTGCTCATTTTCCATTTTGTTTCAGTGTATCGTATTTTTATTAATTTTTGTATTATTTTAATTATCCTTGTAGAACACTTTAATCTTTCCTAGATGAATGATAAAGATGCTAAAGTGATAAGACACAAATAAAAAGTAATACGCAGTTTTGCACATGTGTCACATTAATCTTTTCGCAATTCGAAGATTCATAGCTCACAAAATACCAGAAAATAATTTTCTTACCCATACTTGATACTTTATTAAAATCAATATTTTACCAAACATGGTCACGTTATAAACACGTCCGTATTGACGTGCAGACGAGTTGTATGACAACATCGAATCTGCGAAATATTTGCAGCCATTGGCGAATACCGTACGTTAATTCGTTGAACCAGACAGACGGCGGGGGGGGGGGGATCGATGCGAGAACGATGTAGCGACTAATTCATCGCGTGGTTTGTCATTAGCTGTCGCGCACACGTACGGCATTCGGGAACACATTTCCGGTTACGTTTACTATGGCAGCGGCATAAATTTTTGACGGCGATGTCCTGCCGTACGTGTCATGATTTATCGATTCCGGCCGGTTAACATCGACAGCCTCCGGCCGGAGGTAATGGCAGCACCATGAACCCGAGATAGAACCCGCACTGATCATTAGCTGCCCGGCCCAAGGTTGCGGCAACATTTCGTCGATCGTATCTCGCGGACGGTTCGACACGTTACGCGTAATCAATATGTACCCGGCCCCGGTCCCTCGAAGGGGGCATTCCGCCGTCCGAAATATTGCGATAATGCATAGGCGCGGTACCCCACCCCCTCCCCCCTCCTCCGCCCCTCCTCCCCTCCTTCCATTCCGAAACG